CGCGCCAATTTAAAGAGCTGAACTCCAGACAAGCTGCTAAATACAGAGTTCAATTTCAGTAGTTGTAGTTCTGGCCAATCATTCTCGTGATAGATGTCTGCAAGTCGGGAAGATTCTAATAATACTTTATCCTTCCGGCTTTCTTTGCTCAGCTCCCGGCATAACAGGTGATGTGGCCGAGTCACTGTCCCATAAGCCGAATCAGGAAAGGAGCGTGTTATGTACCTAGCTGTGCTGAGTGTATGCAGTTTAAAGGAGAACTATGGGGTGAGTGTTTTTCCCCATAGTTCTCCTTAGGGTAACAGGAGGACACAAACTAACGTCCTCCCGTCACCCTAAGCTCAGTATATAGGGAGCTACAGCTCGCGGTATATTGAGACGCCGGAGCGGATCCTGGCGTAGATGACGGGATCCGCCCAGCTGCGTGACTGATAGCTGGCTCTGCCTATCTGGAGGCAGAGCCAGCTGTACCCTCCCCCGTCCGATCCGCCAGTCAGCGCTGGCAGATCGGAGCGGGGAGGAGGGAATCCAGCCCCTCCCCCTGTCATGGCAGAGAGCCGTGACAGGATCGAGAGGTGAGCGAACCTGTTATGTGTTCTCTCACCTCCCGATCTACTGTGCCGACCTGTGACAGTCTCATTGTCACAGGTCGGCTAGAACTATAAGGTGAGTGAAAAGCCCCTCCCCCCCTCATAGTTCTCCTTTAAGACTGGCCCGACAGAATAAATAGTGATCTTTGTTTATCTTCAGTTATAGAACCGCCTGATCTGCATTGAAAGGATATCTCCGCGTCGGGCTTTTAAGTGCACAGCTTATTTCTTGATTTGTTTTCTAGGTGGCCATAGCTTGCCAGTACCGTGTGGCTACAAAGGACAAGAAGACGGTTCTTGGCGCTCCGGAGGTCCTCCTGGGGCTGCTGCCAGGAGCTGGGGGCACTCAGAGGCTGCCCAAGATGGTGAGTGTCTGTCGTGTGGGGACATTGCAGTCTAATTGTACAATGCTTTTTAGGTTTGCCACCCGCTATGAAGTGTTGAGGGTCTGTGTGACCGGATATAAAACAAATAGTTTGGTGGAGGGTTGTAGCTGGTAAATGTTAAAGGAGAACTATGTGGTCAGGGCTTTTCCCCGTAGTTCTCCTTAGGGTAACGGGAGGACACAAACTAGCGTCCTCCCGTCACCCTAAGCTCAGTATACCGCGAGCTACAGCTCGCGGTATACTGAGACGCTGCAACTGAAGCGGATCCCGACAATTGTGACGGGATCCGCCCAGTTGCGTGACCGACAGCTGACTCTGCCTTACTAGAGGCGGAGCCAGCTGTACCCGCCCCCTCCCCAGTCTGTTCCGCCAGTCAGCGCTGGAGGAGCGGGGAGGGGGGAATCCATCCCCTCCCCTGTCACAGCAGAGAGCTGCGACAGGATCGAGAGGCGAGCGAGCGCCGGTATATGTTCGCTCACCTCCCGATCTACTGAGCCGACCTGTGACAGTCTCATTGAAAGAGTGAAAAGCCCCTCCCCTCCCCCTCATAGTTCTCCTCCTTTAAGGAGATTGTACAATGATATTCTAAATCTGAAGCCTGCGCCGGCCTTATGTAAGGTGCAAGAACAGATTAAAGCAAGCCTGTACGGGGGAAAAATCCTTAACCCCTCTACTGTGTCTTCAGCCCCCTTGATTGCATAAAGGGCCCCTAAGGGCATTGTATTACCACCTGTTCTGGTGCGGCCGATCGGGGTGGGGTGGTGTCTGCAGTGCCATTGACTTGAATGGCACTGCCACGCCCCCTCCGACGCCAGGAGACGTTCTGTATGCAATCGCTTGCGTTGCGGGCACGGGACATTGTGGAAGACGTGCGGGCTGGGGGAAACTAACCCTTACGGCAGCTTAGCTGCTAATTTCCAGGTTTAGAGAAACATGTGACAACGTTGTTTGCCTTCCCACTACTTAGTGCTTGGGGCCTTAGCACCCAATCAGCAGGTTCCAGCCCCTTTTGGGTCCTCTTAACTGTCAATTGCTGGTGAATGTGTGCGGAGGGATTGGCTGCAACTAAAGAGTAAGGGTAAGTTCTGTTTGTCCTTTCTTCCAAGGTTGGCATACCAACCGCATTTGACATGATGCTGACCGGCAGGAACATTCGTGCTGACCGTGCCAAGAAGATGGGTCTTGTAGACCAGCTTGTGGACCCTCTGGGTGAGTCCTCATGAAAGATCCTGCAGCCTTGTTCCTCCTCAGATGAAATGATTGACATCAATTGATGTGCACCAGGTGGTGTTGTGACCTGTCTTTTTTTTCTTTCTACCCTTTGTCAGGACCCGGTCTAAAAAGTCCTGAAGAACGGACCATGGATTATCTGGAGGAAGTTGCCGTGCACTTTGCCAAAGGGATCGCCGACAAGCAGATCTCCCTGAAGAAGCAGAAGGGACTGATAGCAAGTAAGGACTGGGTGATGCCGCTTAAAGGAGAACTATGAGGGGGGGGGAGGGGATTTTCCCTCATCCTCATAGTTCTAGCCGACCTGTGACAATGAGACTGTCACAAGTGGGCTCAATGATCGGGAAGTGAGAGAACACATACCGGGTTCGCTCACCTCTCGATCCTGTCCCTGCAGAAAAGCCGCAAGTGTCACTCACGGCTCCCTGTAGGGATTCCCCCCTCCCCGCTTCGATCCTCCAGCGCTGACTGGCGGAACGGGAGAGGGCAGGTACAGCTGGCTCTGCCTATAGATGGGTAGAGCCAGCTGTCACTCACGCAGCTGGGCGGATCCTGACAGTAATGTCGGGATCCGTACCGGCTCAGTATACCGCGAGCTGTAGCTCCCTATATACTGAGCCTAGGGTGACGGGAGGGCGCTAGTTTGTGTCCTCCCGTTACCCTAAGGTGAACTATGGGGAAAAGCCCTGACCCCATAGTTCTCCTTTTTAAAGGGTTCAGTGCACACACAAGTCATGTTTCAGGTGTATTTGGGGTCTGCTGGGCTGAGCCATCTGTTAGATATTTTTGGGGGATCTCCTGGATAGGGTTCCTAATGCTGTTCCTCTCACCCGGACACTTTGGATTTTCCCCAGTCCTCCTCATTCTTTCTCCATGATATTAAATAGAGCAATAAACAGGACAATGCGACTTGTACTATTCGGTTTGCATGTCAACATGTTCCCAATCTCAATGGCCATTGCATACCTGATATGTAACCCAGCCGGTCATGTGATGCCAATCAGGAAACCGGGCAGCGTGTAATGATGCGCCGCCCGGCTTCCTGATACAGGAAGTACTCGTGCAAGGTATCGGAGCATTTGGGGCGAGTACGAGTACTCACCCAAATACTCGGTATCTGCACCGATACCGATACTAGTATCGGTATCGGTGCATCTCTAATAAATAGGGAAGCAGGTTGGTTACCACGACAGTAGTGATTTGTTTCTGAAGATACGGGGAAACAACGCGATGTAACAGCCTTTGAACGCGGGATGATTGTTGGCGCTCGGAGCCATGGAGCGAGTATCAGCAAAACAGCAGAATTCGTTACATGTTCAGGAGCCGCTCATTGTTAAATCATCTCGCGGAGTCACCAGGCGGCCCAACCAAGTACTGATGGGGGGGTCATAATAATCTGGCCACTCGGTGTACTGTCCCCTCTTCAGCCTTTTCATGGGTTTGGGTTATTGAAGCTTGCGCTGATTTTTTTCTATTTTAATCTGAAGCTGGGGGACCATTTTGCTGTTGACGATCTCTCCTCCTGAAAGTACTAGTTGCCTGGTTGTCTTGCTGATCTAGAAGTATGCCGAGAAGGACTTGATCTACCTACTCGTTCTGTGCTAGTGACTCGGGAAGCACTGAAGCCAGAGGATCAGCATAGCAATGGGGAAGGCAGCACAATGGCAGCCCTGTCATTTTTCTTATAACTAGGGATGCACCGATATCGGTATTTTGGTACCGAATACCGATAATTTTTTTTTCGCTACTCGCCGATACCAATTACCGAGTAACGGAAGTCCCCTTCAGGAAGCCAGCTGGCGTGTAAAGACTCGCCACCCGGCTTCCCGATTAACAAGAAAGTCCCCTCTCACCTTTAGTATGGGCAGCCTGTCACCCCCGGGGGCCACTCCAGCGAGAACGCTGGAGAGGCGTTCTCGCTGACACTAGTATCTGTATCGGTGCATCCCTGCTTATAACCAACTTTTCTGAGCGTTTTCTCTATTGATAAATTGACGGAACCAAAGTAACAATCCATTATAAACTGGACCCATCACTGTCTGGAGGGGAAAATGCTGAAGGATTGGAATTCTTTGTTGTGCATTGTATCCTATTATACCGTCTGTTGCGTCCTGTCAGAGTGACATGTGCTTTCCTCTCTCCAGAGATCACAGACTATGTCATGTCCATCGCGTTTGTGAGGCAGCAGATCTACAAAACTGTGGAGAAGAAGGTCCGGAAGCAGACCAAGGGCCTGTACCCGGCTCCTCTGAAGATCATCGAGGTATGTGCTGCGTCTGGGCGGTTCGGTCATATGTGCTGCGTCTGGGCGGTTCGGTCATATGTGCTGCGTCTGGGCGGTTCGGTCATATGTGCTGCGTCTGGGCGGTTCGGTCAGATGTGCTGCGTCTGGGCGGTTCGGTCAGATGTGCTGCGTCTGGGCGGTTCGGTCAGATGTGCTGCTCCTGTCGCATAATAAATCTTCACTGACAGGGCAACACTGTACCATTATGTCCTGGGGGGCCGGGGGCCTTTAAGTTGTAAGGAGTTCTCTGTGTTACATTTGTTTTTCTGCCATATTTCAGGGGCTCCTCCAGAAATTGCCAGGGGTACCTTGCGCTGTGGCTGACTTACCTTCCATGGTGCCGGCATAGTTCTGGGTCCAACACCACTTGGGGACTGAAGCACAACGCCAGTGGTCTCTTTAGCTGTCTGTAACCATTCTGACCACCACTGTACGCAGGGGCAAGCTTTCCACTCGC